AAAATCTTGGTATTGTGTTCTCCGAATTTTGCATACCTTATAAAGCCAGAAAATTCTCTCCTTTTCGCCAGGCATAGGTTCCTCTCCAGGCTCCTTTTCAGATTCATCCAACTCGCTCTTGGCACTCTCTTCTTCAGCATCATCACCACCACCACTTTCTGTACCTTTGGCTTTTTTCTTTGTAGAAGGACCGGAATCGCTGTTTGTTTTCTTCACCCGTTTTGGGTGTACCTCTAAATTTGCAGAATTCGAAATTTTACAAGTAGTAGATCAAAATCTACCTGACGTACTTGGCTTTGCAGCCAACTGAACACTAGGAGATTCGGGATCATGCATGTCAAGAGTGACCCCATGGGCTTTTGGGCGTTTGAATATAGCATCTGATACTTCCCCTCTACACTTAGGGCAATTGCTTTCGTTTCCAATAGCAGCTGCTCCTAAAGATCAGCTACTGGTAGTTCTCCAATGCAAAAAAATGAACAAAAATAGCATCATAGACGGTATTTTACCTTTGATGCACAAAAAACAGAATCTATGTCCACAACCAGGCACTGTTGTAGGAAGGATCATCTTTTGATAACAAACTGTACATTCATCGTCATCATCATCTACAGGCATGTTCTGGAATATTGCGCAATATATCTAGCAATGTAGATGTAATTCGGACAACGGTAGCAGAGACTAGGTTATAGAAAGAACAGAGTTGAACGTAAGCCATTTTTCCCGTTTACGGAATAATATTCTCGCAAGCATTATTATAATACCAATCACAAGATTTGTAAAAGAATAATTTGGAGCAGAATTTCCGCGAAAACGATCGGAAAGGCGTATGAAAGGCATATCTTTACTGTTTCTTGCAATGAGTCACTGATGCTTCTCCATCATAAAATCGATTTCCCTACCTTTGTGGGACTATTGCTATTTCTATTCCATTGAGTTCTATTTTCTTCATGCTTTTGGAGATAGAGAAAAAAATCTTCTAATTGTCAGTAACCCTGCACCTTTTGCGCTACAAAGCCGACATTA